ACAAAATTTAAGTAATAAATTCTTAAGGGCTAATTCCATATTTTAAAATTCTATAGTAATTCTGATAGTGATTGATACTCTGAAATCGTGGAGGCCGGCGGTTGTGTGGATCTGCCCCTGAGAAACAGTCCCAACAAGGACACCCCACAAGAGAACACCTTAAGGTCAAGAGGGCAAATACAAAAATCTGCTAAGATGAAATCCATAACCTAAAGCTCAGTATTTTAAAGCTTTTTCCCACAGTTACATAGAACTCCTCAAAAGAGTGGAACCTTCTCTTCCTTTACCTAAGTATTCCATATTTCTATAGACTGCTATTTTTTGCAAATGTATCCCATTCATCTCCCCAAAGGACACATACCTAGTTGAGAACAAGCCTGTAATTTAATCTGATTTCAGAGTAACAGCTTGGTAGTCATCAGCCTATATGACAAATTCCTATTTTTCAAATCTTTCTTTCTCCTCCTCCAAGTTCCAGAAAGTCTCCCAAAGGCAAACTGTATGTGCCTTAAGTGCCAAGCCCAGAACAGAAGAGGCTGAGGTCGTAATTCTAGATCTCACATTACACTGGCCACGACAAAGAGCTGAAGAAATCTCAGTACTCTGATGAAAATAGAAAAACTGACCGAAGAGCTTAAACTCTGTAAGTACACTGAAGAAATTCAAAATGATTTAAGAACAATGATAAAGCCACATGTTGGCAAGTGCCAAAGAAGGGAATGGTGAAGGATGACTATATTAGGTGTGGAAAATATGCCAGTGTGCTTCAGCTTCTACTGCTGTAGCCTGAACTCTTTCTTCAAAGGTACACGGTATTTCAAGGTGACAGAAATTCCACAAACACGCCCCGTGGCAAATAAACGGGGTCAGGGCACGGCTAGCAAGTGTGGTTTTGGTGCTGCCACCGAAGTTAGCAAAACAAACACTAGTTTTGCAACATCATCTCTTAGTATGAGAGCAGTACTGTATGTATTGTGTGTGTGATGGGGGGGCTAAGATGAAAAACAAAAAGCAACACACACAAAAAAAAAACTCTAGTAAAAAAACCTACCTAGAAGAGACAGTAAATACTTCTGGGATCCTGCCAGAGGATCGATCTTTTGGACAAACTTGAAGCTCACTTTTCATCCCAGACTTAGTCGGCTGCACACCTGGCACTAACTGGTAACAAGTACCTAGTGTTCTTTCCCTGACTAACACAATCAATGTTTTTCTTCAAACCCACAAACTTTTCCCAGAGATCTAAGAACTGTTGGCTTAGTCCTCAAGCTGCCAATTTAGGTGAGTCACTGGGCAATTCACCTATGTGCAGCAGGTTCCTCGTCTCTGGGCACAGTTCCAGATAATCATCTTTAGAGGTCAGAAACAACTCGGGTTCAAAATCTCAAATCCCTTCCACATATAACCAACCCCAAACTGGGAACTATTACTACCTAAGTTATTTCAAATGTATTTGTGTTCTTGGAGGCCTGAAGCACAGCTCAGTTATTGTCCCAGGAGTGAAGAAATCCTGTATTTCCAATAAGAATAGATCTACATACTCTGACAATCAAGTGAACAAAGAAAAAGCTTGTCCTCATCCTATGAGATCAAGGAGCTCGGGTTGCACCCTGACAGGGAGAACATTCCATATCTATATGTGGAGCCTGTTGGCAGAGGCACCACTGCTAAACAGTCACTCTTAATTTGATTTAATCCTACTAGAGAAGTCTATGGTAGCCTAAATATTTATCGTTCTAGTCCCAAAGAAATGTCTCTCTTATACAGTCCTGCCTGTCCTTTATTCAGAGATGATCACAACACTACAATTAAACCTGATCCAACACTGTAAATTCGAACCACCTGTCACTTGTGTGTCTAAGCAGTGTCCTACCTAGCACTGTCCAATGAAACCAAAAGAGACATATAAACAAATATACTCAGATAAATTACACTACAGAATGAAAACCTAAAGACCTTATGTAACAACCACAAATTACCGCAAATTGCAGCACATCAAAAGAGTTTCTGGCATACCGAATGCCTCTTATAGTCAACTGATAAGGAAGTTTCATCAACCCAGCAGGCAGGCAGGTGTTTGCAACAAAGATAAGAGATTTTTTAGAAAATGAAACAATAAACAGTGACTAACCAAACATGCACTCACACATTCCCCTCCTAAGGACAAAGTCAAGGTATGCGCCAAACTGACCCAACACAGTGTCAGAAAACCTCTTGTGCCATTCTTTCTGGCATCAAAGCCTTACTCAAAGAAGTTTTGTATTACAGTCATACATACAAGATTAGGTGGGGCTGTCCCATTAATTTGATATATGAAAAGTTAAGCAAGGAAGGATGATGAAAAAAAAAATATCAATAGCAGAAATCTGAGACATGCCCTCAACGCTGCAGCTCCTCTGTGAGGACAGATCAGGCCATGAGTCCAACACAGAAACAGAAATGCTGATTACTCATAAGAAACACCCTGACATAATCATTCTCAAAGCCTTCTCTTTTTAGGGTCCTAATGGCAATTTAGATAGTTTATGGATAGGCTTCTAAAACTTAATAGCTGCTGTTTGGTAGTATTATATCTACTTTTTGAAAAATTAAAGCAAGTTGCATCTTTTTGATGAGTAGAAAACCCACACCGAAGAACAGAAGCGAACTTCAGGACAGGGACTACCTCTAGGAAGGAAGAGGGAAAAAAGGATAGGAGAGCAGTGGGAGCTGAGCTGGATTTGCCTAAAAAAAAAAGAAGCTGAAGCAAGTATGTTAAATGTTACCATTTATTTAGTCTGGGTTGGTGGGTACGTAGAGATCTATTACCTTTACTTTTTTTTTTTTTTTTTACTTTTCTGCACATGTGAAGTGCTTCATAATAAAATGAGGTAAATTTCAAGTGAAAAGAGGACATAAACAGCAAAGAAAATTTGAGGCGAGACTTAAGCAATGCTATGTGACAAAGTCCGATCATGCTACTTTGATTACGCACAACTGCCAAGCAACACAATAAATACACACAAGCCACTGAGGAACACTCGAATCCAAGATAACACACACTAAAGTTAGAGCCCTTTACATTAAGTTAGAACACTTTACAGTTTTACATTTTATATGAGAGTTCTCTGACATCTATCTTGATACCAAAAGGCGCATCAAAATATTTATCCTTTGTCAAATAAAAATATAAGCACATATTTGAAGCTGTACTGAAGGATATGCACTATTATTTAATTACATGTGCATTTGTTCATCTATGAGGGCCAAACTGCAGAGGGCATAAACGTGGCAGCATGATTTTTAGTGCCGTGAAGCTAAGTTGGATCAGAGTGGAGCTGACACAAAAGTCCACATATCTGCTGAGTGTTCAAAAGCTAACAGAAGGACTTAGGCCTGTGCTAACAAACACAGCTGCTGCCACAGAAAGAACACTCAAAAAACACACAGCGTTCTTTCTCAGATCCTCTATGAAATGGGCCGTACCAACTACTGCATGAATCAAATGACAGTCATCTGACTTTAAAAGAGTCAACATGTTCATTACGGACCTTGTTGCCAGTTTTTTTTAAGTATCTGCTTTAATAAATATGTATAATGAGATCATTAGATTAAGGTATGAGGCGTCCAATACATCAACTTTGTGGGTAGGTGTTACAGCTTACCACATCCAAAAAAATCATAAAAATATCATAGAAACTGCCAAGTTAGCACAGGGACCAAGTCTGGCTCACAAGTGTTTTGCTGGATTAACATAACATGTTTTAAAACTTGAATGCAGTAAGTACTCATAGAAATCTAGATTTCTGTATCAGAAGACCTGTCAACATTGAGCCTTTATACTTAACCGGTTAGAGCAAAGTAGTAGTTCCTCAATTATGGAAGGCCTGTCCTCTACAACACTCACTATTCCTTATCACCAGCACACATGACCATCACATATTCACACCACTTACCCTGCCACTGTAGGCACTGTGATTTGTGGCATAACATTAAGGGCACCACACCTTGGAGGCACTAAAAATAAAAACATTCCCCTTAGGACCAACTTCAAGATGGAGCAAGACAGGAAGAAAGGACTTTGCTTCTAGAATTCTGAATTTTCATGTAGGTCAGAAGAGGTAGAATACGAACCGGAAGTCATCCCCTACCACGCGCGCGCACACACACACACACACACACACATACTTCCAAGCCCAACACACATAGTTCCTTCTCCTACGCTTGTGAGATAACATGATACATGAGACTTCTGATTCTAAACAATGCTCACTGTAGCTTAAGAGGAAACTACCTCTGCTCTAATATCGCCTAAGGACTCCTGGAGGTGTACTGGCCTGTTTTGATGCAATGTTCCCACTACCCAAGCCAGCCGTGGGAATTCCTTTCAACTTACTAATGCATTAGATTGCTATGCCCAACCTCTGTCTATGACATACTGCAAGCCAGGTGGAAAATAAATTACGACTAAAAATATGTTTGATGCAGAAAATAGAAATTCATTGATACAAAAATAAGTGTCAGATACACGCACACACAATAGACAGAAATGGAATATTCATCAGTGAATATCAAGAAAACATGAATATATCTATATCAAATGAATGTCCAAAAAAGGATAGTAATAAGCTCCCTATTATGCACAATTTACATATAAACATGCACCATATACATACATACAAATGAATATACTTGCATATATAGCCAAATTATGATAAAGCTCGAAATATTACTACATATACACTATATTTTAAAAAAAGGAAAAAAATACAGGAGGAAGTTTCTAGATTTCACAGTACAACAGTCTAAAGGAACTTAATTTTATCAAAACCAACTGCCTGATAAGTGTCAAAGTTCATGTTCTTATTAGAGTCTACAGTTTTGATAAACATTTCACAATCTGAAAGGAAGTCTTTTTCCTTAGGATTATAGGGTTACTGGCAGAAAAAAACCACAGCCACATCTATACATGATTTCCAAAACTTGGTCTTTTCCAGTTAGAAAAGAAGAGAAACACTCACTGCAGAGAGCTGGCTCCACGTAGATCTCAGTGGCTTATGGTGAATCACAATTTTTTCCTCTGACTTCTGTTCTTTGAACTCCGACTCTTCATCAGAGTCAATGTCAAGGGCCTTTTCTTTGTAGTTTTGATATAGGACAGCATTTTCTGCAAGAAAATAAAAAAGCCTGACATATCACTAATTGCCCCCAATCACTACACTACTTCTCCTGAACAACTTTCCAATTTACACATTCTATGGTCTCTGGTGTAACTAACAACAGAAAAAGAGGCTCTGTCATTCAAAAATAATACATGACATTTCAATGGAAGCAAAGTTTCTATATCTATGTCCACTATTCACAAAGGACAGTCGGACATCTGAAATCATTGTTATCTAGGTTAAACTGAGTTCATACACTACATCTCCTTCAAGGTCCGTCACCATTCATCTATCTATTTAGCAAACATTAATTGTATATCTACAATGTGCCAGGGTCTGACAAAAAAATCAGAAAACAAAGATATCTCTCATCTCCTCATGTTCTAACAATTACTGAGACAGTCAAATTCAATTGTGCATTTATTCATTCAACTGACATCTAGAAAATGCCTACTAGGTGCCAGCAACTGCTAGGCACGGGGACTACAAAAATGGATTAAAAATTTTTTTAAATCCCAATCTCTTCATGGAGCTGATATTAAAGTGAGAGAACTTCAATAAATAAACTTTCAACTTTTATGGTACTTCAGATGTGGCTTTGTATCACGAAGGAAAATAGAACATGGAAGCAGGGGTGGGAAATGCTGGAAGGAGGGTATGTGGATTTTTAAAAGGACAGTTTACGAAGTCCTCAGAGAAGTGACACTTAAAGTGGCACTTTATGTGGTGAGACGGCAGCTAGGGTAAAAAGCATCTCATCAGAGGGGGCACCAAGTACGAAGGCCTTGGCGTACAACTGTGCTTGGTATTGCTGCATGCACAGGGAACAGCAGGGTGGCCAAGTGCCACGAGGGAGGGATCAAAGTATTGAAGATGGAAGGTAGGATAAGTAGAGGGCAGATCACATACAGCCTTGCAACAGTGTCATGAAAAGGACTGATTTTTACTCCAAGTGCAATGACAAGTCACTAAAGGGTTGAGGGTACATTGATTTAATACACATACACACAAATGGAAGGATTTACATACAGGTGCTGAGAACAGACCAGCAGAGTCTAATCTTGTCCAGGAATCTGGGAAGTATCAATGTGGAAAATCTGAGATCTGAAAGTAGAGAAGCTAGAGCTCAAGGAAAGAGCATATGTACAAGCTCTGAAACCAGAGGGAATGCAATACCTTAGAAGAACTATGGCAGGTCAATGTAGCTGGAGCTTGGGCGTGTCTGTCTAGTGGTCAAAAAGTGCAAGGAGGGCTTAGAAAGATGAGCCAAACAGTTTCAATCAAGCAGGGACTTGTAAGGCATGTTAAAAACTGGATTTTTCTCTGAACTTAAAGAACTGGGTTTCTTTCACACTGGAATTGTATTTCGTCCTGAATGCAATGGGGACCCACTGGCAGGAAACACTGACCTCGCACGAGACGCATTTAGGATGCAATTGGGGCAACCAATGCAGACTGATAAGAGACCTAGGCTATACAACGTAGCAAGAATTGACTGGTGACCAACTAGATACAGGGCAGAGAAAGGTGTAGAGATGTTTCCTAGGTCTTCAAGTCCCACCAACAGAAAGCATGAGTTGGAACATCAGAAGAGGTAAAGGTTTACTGGGAAAATTATGAGTTTGGTTTGAGACATGCAGTTAGAAACACTTCCCATCTATTAAAGCAAGCCAACACCTACCTCTTCTCTCATCAATTCTAAGTAGGTCTATATGCAAGCAGTTTAGAGTAACACTGAAATCTATGTAAGGCTTTCCTATTCTCTGTTCTGCATGTGAGAAACAGGTATGTAGTCTGAGTTTCCTCCATCTTTCAAGTACTTGGTGGCTGGAACAAATTGTATGCATGACATTGTTAAGATTTTTCATACATTCTCACAAAGGCATGGGTGTCACAGCCCTTCTTTCAGAGGTGATAACTGAATATCAGTGAGGCTAAAGTTCTTGCTCAATATCACTCAACTGATGAGCAGAAGCAGCAGGATAGAAAGTCAGAATCATAGGTTCCCACCACTGGACCAGATTGCTTCCTGAGGTGCATTCTTGATAATCACTGACTGTTAAGAATCCTGTATCTTTTCACAGACATACATGTGAAAAAAGAGGTCATTATATATGAGACAAGACGAGAAAATACACAGAAGTAGCTCTTTATAGAAGGAAATTACATAAAACTAGCTATAGTGAAGGTCTGTCTTACAAGTTAATTTAAACTTTTTCTAAAAAGTTTTAACTCTTGGGCATGGTGGTATACATGTGTGATTCCAGAACTCTAGGAGGGTGAGACAGGAGGACTGCAAGTTCAAGTCCCACTTGGGCAACCTAGCAAGATCCTATCTGAAAATTTAAAAAAATAAAAAGGGCGGGGATGTAGCTCAGTGGGAGAGCATCCTTAGGTTCAATTCCCAGTATATAAAAAAAAAATTAACCCTCAGAGACAAAGGTCAAAGAATTAATATAAAATTCCAGGGATATAAAGTAGACACTAAATAGAGGCTCTGTTCAATTCATATTCATGGAGAAGCAGAAAAGTGGACTAATAACCAGACTTGCATTCTGCTGCTGGCTGTGTTACCACCTGTGTGAGAGAGGACAAGTTACAAACCTTACTATTTCTTCAATTATAAAATGAGGGAGATGAAATTATCCTAACTAACTAAAATACTGTATCTGGGTTACTTCTCTATACAGCATTGTTTCCTAAGATTGGTACAATGAATGAATTTTTTAAATTTAAAAATGCTTCAGTGGCAAACTCATTTTTACAGAAATCATATAAGCAGATATCTGTAATCACCCAAAGTGATACTATTTTATAATTCTGGGTGGTTTTATATTAGTTTTAGTTATGGAATGACATGCCTATCTTCTTCACTGTTCATTAAAAGTTGGAAAACCTCAACATTTAAAGTAAGAGAGAAGGACTGGGGATTTAGCTCAGTGGTGCCGTCGCCTGCCTTGCAAGCACAAGGTCCTGAGTTCAATCACTGGTACCTAAATAAATAAATAAATAAATAAATAAATAAATAAATAAATAAATCAGAAAGTAAGAGAGAAGCACCCTCCTTATTCCCAGGACCCTTAAGCCTTATGAGGCCTGCAGCTGGGACTGCTCCTTTCATGCTCTTCCAGTTGGGTGACACTTGACCCATCTATTTACACCAAGTCCACTAATCTGATTAGGGTCTGACCACCTGGTTGAAGCTGCTTTTGTTTTTGAAATCCTTGACAAAAATCCTACATGGGTTACAAATTCTTAAAAGAGTATGTTTTTGCCAGCCAGGAGAGTAATGCTTCCCCAAAGTTTAAACTTAATAAAGAAACTGGAAGTCAGAAATGAAAAAAAAAAAAAGTGGAAATGTGGGGAAAAGACTATTAAGGCAAAGGAAACATGACCAAAGGAAAAATGACTTCAGATCTAAATGCCAGCCTCCAAATGTTTCACTGAAAAGCTAGAGCTTGCTCTTGCTTTCTCTGCTTTTTGAGGGAGATGGGATAGGGCCAAATTAGAGAAGAATTAAAAATCCCAAGACATTAAATGAAAAAGTTAGCAGCTTACAAAAAAACCCACTGATTTTCTTCACTATTGGTTTTACTTGATAAAAATTTTGCTTAGTGCAGAGCTTTGCCCTGTATAATCAGGGACATATTTCTCATCTGAAGTGTTTTTGTTACTGCAGTTGGATTTCAATTTATAAATGATATTCCACATTGAAACAGCAATAAAAGTCTGGAAAATTAAATGCTTACCTTCCCCATCAAATGTTCCTTGTCCTTTCAGCATTTTTTTCTAAGAGACAAGAAAAGCAAAAAGAAGAAAAAGCAAAGCAAACTATGTGTGAATGAGCCAAATAGAAAATACAGCTATTATAAGTAAAAGTACTTTTTTGTTACATTCATTAGATTTCCAGAAGCACACAGCAGATGATTCTTAGAGCAGTTCAGTCATACAACCACTACAATTCACTGAAACAGTGAAATAAAATGTACAATGTCCCGCACACTCCATCAAAATAGAGAATCCTCAGATGTCCAGCAGTTCAACTCATTTCATGACTTGTGATTTAACATCACTGTTAAAGTGAACTTTGCTATACTCGCAGAGTTGGAAAAAACACTTAAAATATTATGTAATGTCTTTTAAAACCATAGGCTCTAAAATAAAACAAGCTTGTTTGTGTATTTATCACATATGTGACATTTATATACACTGGTTCCAATTCTCTGATTAATCAAGAAAAAATGTGACTACCAAAGGAATCTTTGCCCTCTTGCTGAGATCCGTCTTGTTTCTGGGGAAGGCAGCACACTCTAAAATATCCTTCTCTAGTTTTCCCTATTTCTTTATGTCTTACTTGACAGTGTTTTAGCAAGTGCAATTCTGAGGCCTTTTGTCAGCAAACAATACCACCCTATCATACAGTTCTGTGCTACCAATTTCTTAAACGCATAAAATGGGAATAAAATACAATCAAAAGCCATGGTGACGAAAACAAGCAAATATATCTATATATGTCTATATATCTATACATAGATATATATAGATATCTCAAACTGTCTGTCCTTTATGATTCTGGTGATTGATTTTAAAATTCACATTTTATCTGAATGACACCGAGTGTGTGACTGACACTCAAAAAACAATTAGTAATCAAAAGAATCAAAAGGGAAGCCATATTTTTTATATCAGCTGGAATAAAGCTACCACTGACACCTCTAAATAAACACATGCCTACTTGGCCAACAGTCCAGAGTGCAAATCTAACCATGCTTCCCACCTCCTTTCAGCTCCCTGTATTAAAAGCTCCCAGGACTTTTCAGCCAATGCTTAGTTTGCAATACAGTTTTTTCCTTTGCATTCCAAATTTTCCCTGAGCTTATAAAGTTAAAAGTGATAGTTTCACTTCCATCCCTAAGCTTGCATTAAACTCAGTGGTGCCTGCCTGCCAGCTCTACAGAATGGCCAAGCACTTTATGTGCCCAGGTATCAACAGTAGAAGCAGAAGTAAAAGTGAACAACTATTTCTGATTTTTTCTATGTTGCTCCTCTCTCACAACACATTCATTCACTTCTGGCTTAATGAATGGGCAACACTCCTGCCCACTCTTACCTTTATCCTTCCCAGGCTGGAAAACTTTTCCTTGTCTTCCATCACCACTTTCAGGACAGGCTGGGACATCCTGTTCTTCTTCTTGGAGCTGTTAGGGCTGTCAAAATCAAAGCCACTGACCACGGCCCTGCGATAGGATGTGGACCGCAGGCCTCGCCGCAGAGACCCCGGGCTATCCACGTCATTGTCGACCTCCCTCTCTTCCCCTGCCGGACCCAGGGGCGCTCCGAAGCCCTCCACCATGCTGCGTACCTTGAGGAGTCTCTTGTGGGGCTCTACATTCTGACTGTTGGATTTACTTAATTTAATTTCTGAGGCCAGGCTCTTCGGAATGATCTGCTGCTTCCCCACTTTGAGGGCAGCAGGGCTGTTTGTACTCAAAACCACGGAAGGATTTTCGGGTAGTTCGTTCTCCTGTGAGGGCAGCCTTTGGAGGGGGAGGTTTTGTTCCGAAGACTTTTTCTGGGGCACATTACAGAGTCCCGAAGGCCTCCGTTCTGGGTTCTTAGCCGTCTCCGCAGACTGAGAACGGGAGCCAGAGGAATCGTTTTGGGAGGCAAGACCATTGATAGTGGGTGAAGGCAGCCGGCTGGCAGTCACTCCGGTGGGGTCCTCCGGGCTGGAGGGTGCGGGAACAGCAGGAGTCCGCGGGGTGCTCAGCGGAGGCGGCGGGGCAGGCGACGTCACCGTGCCATTCGCCCGAGACTTCGGGGAGCCGCCCGAAGCCGCTTTGGGGACTTGGGGTGACTTGGACCGTCGGGGTCGAGGAGAAGCAGCTCTGTATTCCGGGGAGACCGTCCGCCCATTGGTCACCGCCCACCGATGGGTGCAAAGAAGGAGGGGGCTCTTCTGCACCGTCCTGCCGTCCGACGAGGTGGGCAGCCGGGCGGGAGTCTGCGCCGCCGGCAGCGTCCCCAGCTCCTCCACTGGGAAGTCCGTGATCAGCAACCCGCTGGGGCTCTGGTAGGACTGGGGCCTCGGTTTGCTCCGGCCCAGCAGCTGGGGCTCAGGGGTCGACCGCCTCCGCCATAAAGGGGTTAATCTGTTGCTAGAAAAATCCACTTCGCTCTCGCCGTCCATAGCAGGGCCTCGGGTCAGCCCCTAAGGTTGCCTAGCTGGGAGTAAATTACGGAACCCTTCTCTGAACAACTGGACAAGTCTCGCAGACGCGCCAGCTCCGAGCCCAGCGGTAAACCGGCTGTTGCGCGGGACGCCACAGAGCGCCACTTACCCGCCCTTTCTCGGGCGAAAAGCTGCGCCCCGCGCCGCGCGGAGTCCGGGGAAGAAACCTGGGCTGCTTCCCAGACGGATTAATCCAGACACCTTCGCGTCACTCCCGTGCTCAACGACCACCCGCACGGAACGAGCCCGACGCCAACTCGCTGGGTTCAAGCCGAAGCACAGGAAACTTGGGACGGGTTCAACTTTCTTGGGAAACTCACCGCGGGACGATTCCCTCCGCCGCCATCCAGCCGGCTGCCCCCGTCAAGGGTCCCCGAGCGCTCCCGCTGTTCGGCTCGCAGGCGGCTCCGCCTTCGGAGTTTGCAGAGCCGGGGGCCTACGAGCGCCCACTGCCCCGTGGGTGGCCCGAGTGCGGGATCCAAGCGCCTCAGCTACAGCGCCGGAGAAAGTTGCAGCCGCCCGTGGTGCCGGTTCCGCCCCTGATTTTGGCCCCGCCCCGCCGTGGCTCCGCCCCGCCGTGGCCAGGCGCGGACTCCCCAGGGTCGTTGCCCGCCGGGAGCCTCGGTCTTTCCGTTCCTAGCCTCCAATGAAGCCCACGCGTGCACCTAAATTGGGTGCTGAGCCTGCCAGTGCCTGCTGGGAGCTGCGGGGTGGCGGCAGCGGGACAACGGCGTGGGCAGGAACACTACAGAGGTGCAGTCCGCTTGTCTCCTCCCTGAACTGGAGGTGGAGTAGTGCGTGAAATGCTTGAGCCCTGGCCTCAGCGTTCGGGCGGTTTTAAAACCCATGCCTTTCCTGCGCTGTTTAAAGTGCCTTATATTACAGACAAATAGATCTGCTTGTTTGCGACTGGAATATTTCCGGAGGGAGACACATTGGCAGCTGAGGGGAGGAGAGCTGGTGGTTAGGAAACGGAAGGAGGGAGAATTTTCTTTGAATAATCTTCGGATCTTGCATGCTTTAATCCTTAAGTGTTACCTAGTAAAAATAAATGAACTTTAACACACACACATTTTCGCCGCCTGCTGCGCAATCGCAAGGACCTGAGTTCGATCCCTGGTACCAAAAAAACCCCCAAAAAACAAACACACAGACACACACACACAACTATACATCAAATTAAATTCTGAATCCGTACATAGAAAAAGGCAGTAGTGCATTAAATAAAATTCAAAATCTTTTGCATTGGCTGCGTGACCTCTTCAGCCTGTCTTGTCCCGTTTCCTGTCTCCCTCACTGCCCACCCTTAAAGTTTAGCAGCTTCTGAACGTACACTTAGGTTCCTTCTTCACTTTCTGACTTATCACAGGCCTCCCTCATCCCACCTGAAATAGACCATTGCCCCTTTATTTTTCCCAGCCACCTGTTGTCTTCCTTTTCCACACTTATCAAAAATGTTAAATATATACGTGCGTATGTATTTATGTGTTTGTGTTCATTATGTCTTTCCACTATAATCTGCAAGAGGGTAAGGGCCGTGTTTGTTTCCCGAATGTATTCCAGGAACATAGTGGACACGTAATAGACACGTGTTGAATAAATGAATAAATGGATGAATAAGAGGAATATAGTGAGGACAGTGACCATTCTTCCCTTAGTGCTTCGTTGCCAGAGCAGAAAGTTGATTGTGTTCGCACCAAACTCATGTTGTGTGGGAATTTCAAGGCAAACTTGAGATAAGTGATTTTAAAACATTACATCCGTATTATTGGTGGTATTAGCAAGACAGAGCCCTTCTCCAAGTTCTCTTTCATATTTCTCACTGAGTGGGAATGTAGTGAGCATCCTGTATGCAAGTTTTACTACTTGTTTTTGCTCTAGATACATGGAATGCAATGGCCCAAAATATTAAGAAGCAATCTTTGTGTGTTGAAATAAAGGATGATGTGTTTCATCTTTATACATTTCTGTAGTTATCAAAATTGTACAATGAAAGCATATTGGTTTGATCTGAGATATTTTTGTAAGCTAGAAAAAGAAATGGTGTCAAAACATTTACAAGAAATATTTTTTAAAAGAAATTTACTGAATATATTGATTGGAAGAAATATGATTGATTATATATTCATACCTGAACACTTTTTAATATGGGGCATTTTTTTATATCAATACACATTACTTTTGCTTTGGAAAAAGTATAATTTTAAAAGTGCTTAGCTAATGACATATGCAATGTTTACCCAAATTAGAATGGAATCTGTGACTTGACTTTTAAACCGGTAGGAGATGATACAAGAAGTTAGCTTCTCTTCAAATTAGGTTGGTTCTGTAAACAAGTGTAATTTAAGTTTGTGAGGAACTCACAGGATCTGCTTACCTCATTCCTAAGCAACAACATAATACCACCAGAACAACACAGTGAAACACCTTCTACCACTAAAGTTTGGAGACTCACAGACCTGGTGCCTATGTTTTAGTTTTTATTCATTTTTTCATATATTTTAAAATCTGTGACATCTCCAATTATGTGTACCATCAAGAAATCAAAAGAACTGCTAATTAAACTATAACAAATGTTGTATCACATAGTTTTACTGTATATTTGCTGAGTGCTTTTAGACTTGGACATTTTACTAACATGTATGTATAAGAAAGTAAAATGTCAGTAGAATAAATTGATTAGTTTTGTATATCAAGCCTAATTCTTCAGAGCCTAATTTTTCAGGAAGAGCTTTCATACATGTGTTTTTCAACACAATATCATTGATAATACAGCCTTTCTTAAAAGAATATTGTAGTCTTGTCTCTGGGATTTTCTTCCCAACCCCTGACAATGATGCTGCAAATTTGATGCTGTTACTATCTTATTTGACTAAAACATAGAAATGTTCAATTGAACATTTATTGTTCAACTGAATTATATATTGTTACAGGGTATGCAACTTCTTTATTAATGACCAGAAATTTCTGAAAAATTGTAGTTCCATGCCTTGCCTCTAAGTGCTACGTGACACACAAACTATTTTATTGCTCTGTTGTCTCTCACTGCTTTGGAATTTCTTTCTCCTGAACTGAGGTGTCAATTTGTCCTGTTTTCATTTGAATTTCTTAGTAGCTGTCTTTGATACATATACACTACACTGCATAGAATTTAACAGAAGTGATGACAATTTGAACAGTTATTGTCATAATCACAAATACAGAGGCAATGTCAACTGTATCATCATTGTCACTTGGCCTGTGGGTATTTATTTGATACCAAGACACATCCTACTTTCAGAGAATTTAAAAGATGAGGCTCAATGCTTCTTCAAGTTGGAGAAATAGAATATACTGAATTTTTGGAATGGTATATATCAATGGTGTATTGAATTATTAGAATATTCAGTGGTGTAATGAAGGATATAGGGCTACATTTATTAAGTCAATTATGTCTTTAAGTGAAATTTATTAATTAGTCTTATTATCTTTGCTGTTATGTCCCATGTACCTGTTATTTATCTATTTATACTTTACATGAATACTCTTTGATATATTTAAATGTGAAGCAATGGACCAGGCCTTCCTGAAGCTTATATCTTGGCTCATTAAACATTCCTAAAATGATAATGTATTGACACTCAAACTGAATAAGATGCATGAGTAAGCTCCCTATTTTATGAAAACCTTTATGAAGCAGATAAAACTGAGCAAAATATTCCAAGGTGGGAAAGAAGAGGAGGGTATCCCAGAGAAATGTCCCAGCATGAGCAAAAACATGGAGAGATGATTGGAGAACCAACATTCATTTAGTGCTCACTATATGTTAAATACTCTTATTCACTACACAATTTGACTTCATATGAATCTGATCTTAAATATGAAATGTCAAGGCTCAGAAATTGCTTTTCATACTGTTGGCAAATGGCTGACTCAGACTCCTAACTTAATTCTCTGTCATACTCCAGAGCCCATTGCTGAAATAACCAACAGACCATGTTTATCAGAGCAGAAGGTTTTTTATTTAGAAGACGTGGGTGATAAACTTGGTTAGATACTGTCTTAGTTACTATTCTCATTGCTGGGACAAAATACCCTACACCCACAAGTTAAAGGAGGAAAGGTTTATTTAGCTTACAGTTTGTGGAGGTTTCAGCCATAACTGGCTGGCTCCATGGAAGGGTTAATGGCAGACAGGGATCATAGAGGAGAAACAGTTCATGGCAAGCAAAAGGTAGCAAAGCAAGCAAGGGGCCTTAGCAACTTTTTTCTGCCCCTTTTATACTCTATCTAGGCTACTGGGCTTAGGGCAGTGCCAAACCAATCAGTGGACTGATTTAGTAATCACATACCCTTAATCCCAGCATCACACACTCTAGATTCAGCCATCTCTGAAAAAGCCCCACCAATGACCACATGAGGCTTTGGGAGAACATCTGGACACAAACCATAACAGATATGATGAGAACAGAACATGATGTGTGACACAGATTGAAGGTTCTGGATTTTACCTGGATAGCAGCTGACACTCTCTAAAGGGACTTCAACTCTGGTATCCTTTTAAAAAAACCAATCTATTGACACTAGTATCAGAAATAAAAAAGCCAAAGTTTGACAGATTTGACAACTTAAAAAGTGTACTCTTTTTGTGTTAAGTAAAGCATATAAGTCCATAAAATTTGAAGGAAATTTCTTAAAGAAATTAGAGAAAAATATTGAAATATATTAAAATAACATACAATGTGTTAATATTTATTTCATTTACAAATCAATTAGAAAAAGATAACTAACAATGGAAAAACGAGCTGAGTGAAAAAAAACCATTTTAGAAAAGACACGGGTGCCCATTCACAAAAATATACCATATATTAAAATATATTTAAGGCAGGACTTAAAGAAAAACAAGTTTTTCCTAGCCTTGAGCAGCCCCCCTCGAGCTCCACTCCTTGTTCTGGTACAGATAAAATTGGCAACTATGTCCTGTAAGCAAACTTTATGTCATCTTATCTCACAAGATTCACTAGGCTCTGTCTTCTTTCAAGGTTAAGTAACAAGGCTATCACTGAGTGATTGTTTTTGTCTCTTTGTCTGGCTTCTGTAAGCTCTCTTGGCCCCCACAAGTTTCATGCCAATCTCCTTCAACCAAATACATAAAACTGGAGCCTTTCCTTTGTTCTGGACTCAGACACTGGACATTAGTCCACTGAGCCAGTATACACATAAAACCTGGAATAAATCCTCCTGTATCACCCATTGGTCTCTCCTGTCTCTTAAAATCCCACAACATAGTCAATATGAGTAATAAACACAAAATTTAAAAAGAAATGAGATGGTAGTTTTTCATCCATTAGATTCACAAAGATTTAAATAAAGCAATACTCACTGTTAGTAAAAGTGCAGGCAAAAGAGTGATCTGAATAATTTGTTGTGAGAATGTAAACTGGTACAGTTTTCTGGATAGAAATTAGATAATAATAAAAAACTTGAAAACAACCAAATCTTCAATCT